TCATAGCTATTAATATATGATCGTTGCATAATATATACTATTTCTCAACTCAACCACTACTTGTTATCGAGTAGTTTCCCTGTTATAACTTGTTAGTTTTTTAAAAAGTGTATTGAGTAAGAATGGATCAGTGTCTTTGATTATTTTGGGCAGATTTAGAATAGAAAATAGGAACCAAAACAGAATTATTACTAGGTTGGTAAGTTCATTAACGAACTCTATTTTTATAAATGCAACTTTTATATGTCAAATTTTGAAAAGTATTTAACTATATATTTTTTAGAACCACGACGAAAAACTACTAGACTAATTTTGTTTACAAAAATCGAATTGGAAATATTAACGGTGTCATCCACGCAGTTGTCAAATTATTATGATAGTGTATTGTTACAGAATTTGTTTATGGTCCTAAAGCACACAGAAAGCTTTTAAAATTACATTTGGGAAGTATATTTTCCACGTTGTAACTTGTTTGAAAGGGAATTTCATTATTTCTTCAGTAATATAAAGTTTTTAAATTTGATGCAATCATAATTGAGAAAATTTATTTTGAAAATGTAAAATTATTATAATTTTTCACAAAACTTTTCGTAGATTGAAGCAAAGAATGTTACATAATATTCAAAGTAAAGTTTAAAATTTATTTTAAAACCCCTTCTTTGCTTCATTCATTATCAAAATTTTACATTTTCAAAATTAATTTCTCAATTATGATTGCACCAAATTTAAAAAAAAATTAACATTGCTGAAGATAAAATTTAAATCATTTTAACAAGGTGCCACATGATTCCCTTTCTTATTTAAAATTTTGAAATGCCTGCTCATATTACACGGGGAGGGCAAGAGGAGGAAAATATTTTCATATGATAAATTGTAAAATTACCTAAGAATAGAAATCGAATTGTTTTAGGTTATTTTCTTTTCCTTAAAGTACATAATAACGCTAAAAATGCATTTATTTCATACATATGAACCACACAGTATAATGAAAAATATTTTTCATGGTTTATGTATAAAGATACTGTTTCAAGTATAAACAACTGCTATTCGTATACTCTTATCTTTAGGTATTAGATTAGCAGTTACTGGTGAATTTTTATACTTTTTTTTAACAGATATGTTCATGCTTTACCCCGGGATAATACCAGTAAACCATTTATATATTAAAAAGGATTAAAAATACGATGTAAATAACTCCTTATTCATATAAAAACTTGAATGAATATCTGTAGTTATATCTAATATTTAGAACGCTTTGAGCCAACAATTTATTTTTTCTTTTTCAATGATTTATTGACTAAAATTTGTACTTTGTAGTCTTACGTACTTTCTTATTGAAAAACCTATTTACGACTTTTATTGCCAAAGATTCGATGTTGTAAAAGAGACAATAACAGGACATTTAACGATTTAAGATCTGCTTATTTGATCCGCACATAGTGCCAGGCAACAAGAATTTCTGCAATATTCTTTAAAATAAATCTATGTAGAATTGAATCGTTACAGTGAAGCTTCAAACAAATCTTTGTAGGATAATAGCTATTTATGATAAATACAAATGTTGAAAGTTGCAATGTTCGTGTGGATGCTCCCTTTTTACAAGTGTAATATTTATTTTTTTTTATACACCCACATGTGTATTATCTATTTTATATATAGACTACAAAATATGTAGTAGGCCATGTCAGTCTATCAAAGAATAACATATCATATTCATTCTAGTAAGGACACTGTACGGATATGAAATCCATCAATCACAGTTCATACTTACTAACCGGTCTACTAATCTTTTTTAAAATTTGAAATAAGTGACAACTCTGGCAAATTAATTGTCAATACATTTTTTATTATTATTGAGATTAATATAATTAAAAATGATAATCTATAAATAATGTCGTTCCACAAGTTATTAAATTTAATTTACAGAAAAAAATGTAAATTTTCATGAAACTATCCAAAACTCATTCATTTATAAATTTTAATAAAAAAAAAGGAAAAAATTGTTAGGAACTGACTTGAATTCCGACTTGAATTCCAAGGACCGGAGTTTAAATCCCGCCAAAGGCCAATTAGATTATTAGAATAATTTACAGTTTCAAATTTTTGTGTTAATTATCTATAAAATAGTTGTTTTTCCAAACAAATTTTAAAATTTTTTGTAGATTTTTCGTTATTGGATCGTAGAAAAAATATACTGTATAACTCGAATAGATTTTGCAATACCACTCAGATAACTGAACACTCCGCATACGGAATCGTGCTCAAACTTTTTCTCCGTTCGAAATGGCAGTTGTATCCCGTCTTGTTGCACAATTTACAGAACGACAAGATTGAGGTGGCAAGTCAAAATTAGATGCGCACTGGCAAATCTAAAAATGGAAAGAGGTTATTCTGACTTTCTATCTTAATTTTGTCGTACTGTAGAGGGTGGGCAAATTTCGATGTTTTAATAGAAAATATCGTTATAGTCCTTCCATTATCAATTGCAGAACACAGTTATGTGGGGAATCATCAATATTTAATATATACGCACGGTACTCATGCCAAATTAAGAAACGAAAAATAATGTTTACTCCCCTTATACAAAGCGGTAAATATTAAACGAACCATCAGTTATTTACCAATGAAAACATCGAATCGTAAACTTAAATGCACTGTATTGGCCAAAGGTTTACGGAAAGCAGGTGTTCGAAAATATTCCTGGAAGACAGTCTGCGATATCAGTGGAGTACTGTCGTGCGGTGTGTTTTGTATGTGTGGTTGGTTTAATTTAAATTTCTTTTAATAAATATAAATATGGCGTTCTTTAGACCATGGGCGAATGAAGAAAATGAAATTGCACAGTGTAGTGAGATTAAAGACAGGTATGACTTTAACGATAAGGATTTAGATATACAAACACAACAAGTTATTTTAAATATATTCGAATGTTTAAAAAAGGAAAATATTCAGCAGTCTGATAATGCGTTCATAATAACAATTGCTGAATTAACTAAAGTAAATAAATTTTCCGTTTATCCGGTAGTCACGAAAGGGGTTGTTGTGGATTATTCATAAAACCGAAAAACATGTAAAGAAAAACTGAAATCCGTTGACAGAGCTACCCAAGATTTTATACGAAGGACAATTTATAGTTTATATAAGGAGAACAGGGTTCCGACATTGGAAGTAATACAGCAAAAGGTGGCAGATTTTCCAGGATACACTTATACCAGTTTGGAAACATTGCGTCAAGTTTTGTCAGCATGTGGTTTTAAACACAAAAAATTGAATAAACAGATGGCAATCACCGAATCGTCAAGGATAGTTCAATGGCGACAAGATTATTTGCGTCAGATAAAAGGCTACAGAAGTTCTAATAGACACATAATTTATCTAGATGAAACATGGTTTGACAGTCACGATGTAGTAAATTTCGATTGGGTTGGCAGTAGTAAAAATTGCTGTTTGAATGGGCCATGTTCTAAAGGGAAACGCATTATAATAGTACACGCTGGAAGCAAAGACGGTTTCGTGCCTAATGCTTTATTATTATCTGCTAAACAAATTAAAAACTGTGCAGCTGATTATCATGAAGATATGACAGCAGAATTATTTGAAAAACGGTTTAATGAACAGCTTTTACCTTACATTCCACCACAGTCAGTAATCTTTATGAACAACGCATCCTACCACTCGCGGCAACTCCTTAAAATACCAAATAGTAGCAGTAAAAAAGCTCAAATTTTAGCTTTTATGTCTGAAAAAAATATTCCTATTCCTGCCAGTGATAGTAAAAAAGGACCAACAAACAAAGAATTGCTTACTGTTATTAAAGGTATAAAGTTAGAAAAAATGTATTATATTGACAAGCTGTGCAAATTCTTCTCAGACTACCTCCTTACTATTGTATATTTAACCCTATAGAGTTAATATTGGCAAACTTAAAATCAGAATTACGAAAATGTAATCAGTCTCCAGAACTGAGTAAATAAGTTGTAGAACTCGTAAAGAAAGTTCTAGCAGCAGACCGCCAAGAGCTTTGGAAAAACTGTGTTGAACATGTTATCAAAGAAGAAGATGAGTATGTAGTATTACCCTCTTTACAACCCATTATAATTCAACCAAATGATGACTCTAGTTCAGAGGATTCAGACTGCCATGATTATTTATAAAGATACTTTAGAATTGAATTGTTTTTTTTTTCTTTTCTTTTATTTGCAAAGAATTTATTTTCCTTTATGGTTTTTTCTTTGAAATTTCGTTTTCCAGAAAAAGAACGAATGGGGTACAAAAAGGGTTCAGTTCACGTCTGGTACCCTGTTTAAACCAAACGCCCTTACAGGCAGGTACACTTTACTCGCTTTTTTACGTTTCATAATTTAATATTCAGTTGTAGCAAGTTAACGAGCTATAATTTTTTTTTTTAAGTCCAAGTAAGATAACAATTAAGTGCATCTGTCTAAATAAGGGCGTATAATAACGTCCAATTTATAATTATTCGATTTCCTTTTAACGAATACTTTCTTGCATATGATATATATTAAAAGTATTAATAAAATAAATTTATAAAATGAGGTAGGTATCTACGCCTATGGCAGATCAAACAAAATTGTCGGTAAAGGTTCCGAACGAGTTTTTATGATCTGCAATTGATAATGGAAGAACTATAACTATAACTGGTATGGAAAAATGGAACTCCCATCCTCGATCTCTTTTGTCTTTTGTTTTCGAGTTATAAACAAAAGTTATTTTTTTAGAGCGGCACTAATAGTGACTGACCTTAAGTGAACTTGCAATAACTCTCTATTTTTGTAAAAAAATTATATTGTTTACAGGCAAAATGAATAATAGTCAAACTGCCAAGATATTATCACTATACAGGAGTGATAATGTTAATTCATCAGAGAGTCCTATGCATTTTAAGAATGACCTTACTTCTGCCTACACTGTCTTTCCATCTATGGTCTTCTAAGGTCCATAATTCTAGAGAGTCCATAGAAGTGATAAATGAGGAGCCCATGAAAGGAATTACCTGTATCCGCGCAGTAGAGAAAAATCATGAGCCATTGGAAGAAACAGCTACCACCTATTTGTTCCTTCTTCAATCCATATCACAGCCCAGTGAATTATTTTTATCCAAGAATGATCCTGTTATAGTAAACATTAATTATGGAGAAAGCATAAACAACCATTTGTCTAGTGAACCTACACTTAATAAACATGATGCTGTACTCGAAATTGGTTCAAATAATCTAAGTGATTTTGAAGACTATCAAGAATCTGAATCTAGCTACAGACCAAGTGATAATGATTCTTCTTCTCCTGAGAGCGACATTGAGATCAAAAAAGATAATACCGAAAATAATTCTGAAGGAAAAAAAGTAAAAAGGATACGATTCAGAAAAGGCCAAGCCAATAAAGAACAGTGGAGCAGACAAAAGAATCAAGTACTTAGGGAAAAGGGACAAGAGTATGTTAGCCAAACGAAAAGAAGTATTAATGCTCGTAAAATGGGTCCTCGATGTTATTTAAAAACGTATGCTAGGAGTAAATTAAGAAAATGTAAATTATTAAATGATGAAGATCGAAAACTATTATTCAGCCATTTTTGGAACCAACTTGACTGGAATGAAAGAAAGCTTACATAAAAACCCTTATATCGTGCATATCTTTGGTACAAAAAACAACAAAAAAAATCGAGGAGATGATTTACCCTAAGATATTCAGTTAAGGTAGATGAGGCTTTTCTGCCAGTTTGCAAAAAAATGTTTCTCTCCACCTTTAATATAAAGTAATGGTCAGTGCGATCCTGGGTAACCAGTAAAAATATTAGTGGAGAAGTTAATATTTCCAAGAATGAAGTTGAACCCGAAAAAAAGGTTTTTGAAATATTTAGATTTTGTTTTATACAATAAAATATATATAGTAAACCGTGAAAAATCACAAAAAATTTTTAAGTAACCTAGTTTTTAATAATAATTTCTCAATAATTTCCACGGTAACCTATATATTTTATTGTAAAAAACAAAATCTAAATATTTCAAAAACCTTATTTTTAGTTTTTTTCTACTCCATCTAATCAATAAATAATAGTAAAATTAATTATAATTCGAAAATTAGAAGTCTTACTTTCCCATAAGACACTGTACAAACACACACATTTTTAAAAAAAAAATTCTCAAAAATTTGCACGGTAAGGTATAGTTAAAAGTTCACTATTAGATAAATAAGGACATCTACTATTAGAAAAAAATTAATTTTAGTCATAATCTAATATTTTTAAAACACTATAACAAATAGATAAAATAAGTATCACGTTACAAAAATGGCGCCCAAAGTGGGGCTAAATAGCTCGTTACTTTGAAATAGATTCCTTATAACTTGTCGTTCTAATTCACATAGGTATTTCACAGAGATTAACGATACTAACTGCATGTCTTTTATATTTTTACTAATACTTTGCCTATTATTTTAACCTTTTCTTTAAATCTGTATATCGTATCGTCAAGTTTTATATAATATCTGCATTTTGTACTGGGTTTAGTGTTTATTTATAGATATTTTGCTAATACTAATGATATATCTACATATTCATTTTACACTGATAAAAGTGTATAGTATATGATTTTTACCTAAAGTTGATTTTTGTGCCTATCGAGTATAAATTTTTTTTCGTTAGTGATAAAATTTGTGCCTTTATTTAGTTAAATATATTGCTTTTTACATTTTTTTTTTCTGACTGATATCCTCTTTATTAAAATGATTCCCAAACATTTAAAGACTCATGATTTAACTTTAATTTGAACTTTATCTTACCGATACATGATTGCAATTTTATGTAGTTTAAGTTTGTATAAGAACGAACATGCATATATTATATCATGCTAATTTCTCAGTTAGCATTGCAAGACCCTAAGACTATTGAGGAATTGTCTATTTTATGTAAGAAGCTAGAAGATGCTCAAAGTTTATCTCAAAATTTTACACATCCAGATGTAAATAATACTGCTGTTTTGGGTAGTAATAATTTTTCAACTAATACTAACCAGTACCGTAATAACAATAGTCAATTAAATAAAAGTAGTGAATTGTCCTAATTGTTAAAAAAAATGGACTACAGGCTGTACCTCAAAGTCTGGCTACGGGCTGCAGTCTTACAAATGTTCAAAATTTGCCAGGAACTTCTCAAAAAAACAATTCACAAGTTACAGAAAACAAGAATCAAAATTAACTTCTCTAGCAGAATGGAAACAGTACCTATCTTTTGTAAAAAAATTCCTTAATAAAATATATAACTCCAGTACCGAACCTAAAAAAATTTCTTATAACTTTAAAAATGATAGTGTTTTAATTAATGACAGTATCTCACCATCTCTAATAGTAGAGGATGGGTAAAACATACAGGGTGTTTCTCTAAACAATAACTCAAATCCATTATTTTTTAAGAAACTAAATGATAATAGGCCACATCTAAAGGTTAAAATAAACAATATTGAAATATTAGCTTTAGTAGATACGGGTTCTAATTCAACAATTTTAGGTCAACAAGCTTTTAATATTATCCATAAAATAAATATCTATTTTATATGATGATGATGATGATGATGATGATGATGATGACTTAAGTGTAACTATTGCTGATGGGCTTTCACAGAATGTATTAGGTTTTATAAATGTACCTGTCAATCATCATTATGTGCTGTAAATTCTATACAAACAATGTCAAATCTGTCTTTTGAACAAAAATCTCAACTTAATGGAGTGATAGATCTTTTTTCTACTATAGCTCTAAAAGATTTCCTAGGATGTACACATTTAATTAAACACGATATTGACACTGGGGATATAAAACCAATTTTTTCTAGACCGTACCCACTTTCACCTGCCATGATGTTTCATGTAAAAAAAGAACTTAATGATTTACTACAATTAGGTATCATACAACCTTCTGTTTCTCCTTGGTCCAGTCCACTTTGGATAGTTGATAAGAAAACTAGTACTGAAAAAAGATTATGTTTAGATAGTAGACGTTTGAATCAACACACTGTTTCTGATAGTTATCCTATGCATTTAGTGGACTCAATATTGAGTAAACTTAGGGATGCTAAATTTTTTATAGATTCCCCTAACTGATACCTCCAAACCTAAAACTGCTTTTTCAGTTTTTGGTGTTGGATCATTTGAATTCACAAGAATGATATTTGACTTAAAAAATGGTCCTCGTACAATGGCTCGTTTAATGGACATAGTCATAGATCCCTCTATTCTTCCTTACTGTTTCTGTTATTTAGATGACATTATAGTAGCAACTCCTATTTTTGAACTTCATATTGATACTTTGAAAAAATTGTTTAATAGATTGAAAGATGCTAATCATACAATTAATATGGAGAAAAGTGAATTCTGTCGTGATTCTCTTCATTTCCTTGGATTTTTCTTAGATAAGGGTGGTTTAAGGACAGATCCCGGAAAAGTTTCTGCAATTTTAAATTATAAAATTCCCTCAAATACTACTGAGATTAAACGTCTCATAGGCTTAATAGGTTGGTATAGGAGGTTCCTAAAAAATTTCTCTACGGTTTGTTCACCTATTAATGACCTATTAAAGAATAAGAAGAACGGACAGTCTATAGTCTGATGCTGCGTTTGTGAAAATTAAGAAGATGCGTACCACTAGTCCAATACTTGCAAGTCCAGATTATTCAAAACAATTTATTATTTAAACGGATGCTAGTGAAACCGGAATTGGTGCTATCTTATATCAAGAATGTGATGGTTTTGAACACTCAATTGCTTATACCAAATTAATTTTCCGTACTTTATTTCAAAAATAAAAGATTATTCTTGTAATTGGTGTTTTTGTTTTGAAATAGTAAACCTCGTATCTTACACAAAAAAAAACAAAATGAATAGTCTATTCCTCACATATTTACCTCAAACCCTATACAATTAAATTAATCACGTACTCATCACGAAAAAGGAACATTGGACAATAAAAGATGTAAGAACCTTTAGAGCAGCATGTTCAAATTCCGATCACAATATAAATATGCAGAGAGAAAGTAAAATCAATATTAAGCACTGAACGTGAAGAAAATATAATGTATTCGGGAAAACATAGAATTATAGTAGAAGAAAATATTGAAGTTGCACAGAAAAAAGTAAGAAAACAATGGTACAATCTTAGATAAAAGAGACCAGAGATATAACATACACCGGTTTTAAACCTGCGCAAATGTTGCCAATTTCTAAAGAAGGGTTAACGGAGTGGGGGAACTGGGCGGCGACACGCGGCGACCCGAACTCTGTGACAGGGACCGGACTTTGTTTATTAGCATCTTAATGAACTATTAGGTTTATTTAAAAGGTGTTTAATCGAATTTTGTATTAAGAAATAAAATTAACGTGATTTTTTAATATCAAACAGATGCCACGACATTTTATGTAAAGAGAAGACCTTTTATAGAATATTTCGTTAGCGTTTATTTACTACGGACTTTTCTGCAAGAGATTACAGTAAAATGTTGAAATAGAATATATTGTTAATAGAGCAAAAAATGTTACTCATTGTCTACGAGTATTATAAAAATAGCATGTGCGCAGGCTAATACTGCAAATCTACCCTTATGAGTTGAACATTATATTTTTTCTACGGCTATTACATATTATTAAAAATTAGTCAAAATTAGAAAATAATGTTTTGTATTGTAACCTCAGAAAAAAGTATATTAAGGCTTCTTTCTTTAAGAATATTAATTATTATAAAGGATGAGTCACATAAAACACTAGAAATGCATATGTCTGAAAGCAGATAACATTTTAAAATTTAAATCTATTAAAAGTCATTTGGTCGCTAGGGATGACTGATTATCGAAATAAATTATCGATCATTGAAAATAATCGATTATTTTCGATCAATCGATTATTTTCAAACAATATATTTTTTGTCATTTCCTTTAAAATCGACTACTTGATTATCTTTGAAAAATCAAAAATAATCGATTAATTAAAAAGCCAATTAACCGATAAATCAGTGTTTACAAAATATAATATAAATAGAATTATCGTTTATTTTAAATAATCGATTATTTTCAAATAAACCATTTTTTTTCGTCCATGGAAACAGATTATTCTATAATCTTTGAAAAATCGAAAATAATCGAATAATCAAAAATAATCGATTAATTAAAAAGTCGATTAACTGATAAATCGATTTAAAAAAAACAGAATGATCGATTATTTTAAATAATTGATTATTTTCGATCAATCGATTATTATCAATAATCTATTTTTATTGTATTTCCTTTAAAATCGTTAATTCGATTATCTTTGAAATACCGAAAATAATCGATAATTCCAAAATAATCGCCTAATCGAAAATAATCAATTAATTAAGAAGCCGATTCTATGATAAATCGATTTTCGAAATAATAAAACGAATTATCTATTATTTTCTAAAAATCCTTTTTT